AATGAACAGTTTGGCAAATGCACCCCTAAACAATGGTCACATGCTGCTCTCCAGAGAGGTGACACAGTGGTACAGGATGCCAAAGTTGGGAGTGAGCCCTTATATAAAGGATGTGCTGACATTGGGTCACAGGTCACAGGGACTTTCAATTGAATGACCCATCAGAGGCCAGACTCCAACCCTGGCCTGTCCCCTCTCTGGGTGATACTCATTCCTTCAACCTCAGGCCATCTGGGTCCCTACTGTGCCAGAGAAGTGAGTTTCCACCCTGTGTGTCCAGCACCAGTTTAGTTCTGGATGATTTGAGACACTGGGCTCACTTCTGCTTTATCAGTGGGTTAACTCAGGCAACTGACTTCCTCACTTTACTCATCTATAAAATAGCAACAATGATCCTTGCCTAGTGAACAAGGGTTGAGGAGGTACCAAGGAGAAAGTGGTGGCTGAGTTCTCTTTGCTATATACATGGCGGGGGAGGGGAGGATTCCCCCTTACTGAGGTCTCATTCTTTAGTCTCCAGTGCTCAACACAGGGTCTAACCCCATAGATGCTGAATGAATGAAGTGAGTGACAGTAATGTTTGGTTGATGTTCATGGAGAACTGCGCTGCTTTATCCTTCACATTGAAGCCCTGTTCCTGAAGAGCACTAATCTTACGGTCCACAGGGGTTCTGGATAGTTTTGCCCCAAGCATCTTTGCTACAAGCATTTTCACCACATAACTAACTGGCCATTAAACAATTTTTCCTTAAAAGATAAAAAAAAATAATAATAACTGGCTGGCAGTTTGGTTTGATAGTTTGTTGATTTCATCAACTAGCTGACAGTTTGGTTTCATTTCTCCATTGACATAGTGCTCCCGTTTGTATATAATATAAACTGCAGCCATTATAATGGTCTATACAGTGGTGCAGCCTTTTTAAAATTTTTTAATGTTTTTTTTTAAATTTATTTTTGAAGGAGGGAGAGACAGAGCATGAGCGGGGGGAGGAGCAGACAGAGAGGGAGACATAGAATTTGAAGCAGGCTCCAGGCTCCAAGCTGTCAGCACAGAGTCCGATGCGGGGCTCGAACTCACAAACTGTGAGATCATGACCTGAGCCAAAGTCGGACGCTTAACCGACTGGGCCACCCAGGCGCCCCCAGTGGTGCAGTCTTGAACTCACATTTCCCATAGAACTTTGGGATGCCTATCAATGGTCATGTGGCAATATGCCAAGAACAAACAACAGAGTAGAAGGCTTTCACAATGCAATACAAAACTCAGTTACAAATATGCATCCTAGTATTTGGAAATGGATACCTCTCTTAATGAAGGAAAAACTGTGATGCTAAATGAGATGAATCAGCAAGCAAAAAATGTGTAATACTATGAACAAATGACTTTGAGGTAAGTGCTTAGGTACAATCCACAAAATAAAGTCATTTGCAGTATTGCCATGAATGTACACACATTTAAAATGCATTCAAATATTTTTGTATTTTGCAATAGTCTTTTAAAATTTTGTTTCTCAGTGGCACCTAGCTGGTTCAGTCAGGATAATGTGTGATTCTTGACCTAGGGGTTGTGAGTTCAAGCCCCACATTGGGTGTAGAGCTTACTTAAAAAATTGTTATTCATTTTTCATGTTTCATTATGTCCTTTTAAGTGAATGTCCTTCTTTTATTTTTCGTGATTTTGTCTGAGAAAAACAGACAAGACCCAAAGGAGCCCAGACGGCAGCCCAGGAAGAACACAGGGGTGTTCTGAGTGGGTCCTTCAGTGTGGGCTACCATGGGAGACACTTGGGGTCAAGAAGGACCTATGGTCAAACAGGCTTGGGCAACTCAGCACACTCCACCTACCTCAGGAGATTTTCAGTGTTCATTGCCAGTCCAGGCTCCAGGAGCCCTATTTAACTCATTTAGCCATGAAACTCCTCTTTTCCTCTCCTTTTGGAGGAACACTTATCATCCTCAAGAAGGTGCCTTAGGAAATGCTGGACTAGGATTTGGGAAGGACTTGAGGATTCTTGTCGCAGGGAGACAATTTTAGAGGTTTATGGGATTCTGTAACCTCCATGTTTTGTGTGTGCCTATCACACAGTAGGTACTCAGTAAACATATAATGGATGGATGGATGGATGGATGGATGGATGATTATGTTGTTCTCATTTCCAAATGGTAAAAATTGAGGGGAGGAAGGTGAAAGAGATGTGAAGCCCAAGGACTTAGGACAGAACCATTTTAGTTCCTTTTAGACCACAAGTTTGTCTGGAGAACTGATGGAATTCATTTATTCATTCATTCATTCATTCAACCAATGACAACATAGAGTGGTTAAGTGCAGTGTGGTAGATTAGCACTAAAGACTCAGAGAGGATAATTAACTAAATGCAGGGGTAAAGGAGGCCAGAAATGGCTTCCTAGATGTGAGTCAAATGGGCCCTTTGGAATAATGAACTCAGGGTTCCCACTCTCATGTTATTTTTCCAACCACACAAATCATGCTTGGGATTTCTTGCTTGGAATCCACAGGCAGCTGTGATCCCATGGTTGTGACCCCCTGACCTTGATAGAATCCATCTTGGCCCCCTCCCCTCTTTTACCCAGCCCCTCTCACCACTCTTCATTGCTGTCAGCTGCACATCCTACACATGCAGAGGATATATCTGCATTATGCAGATGACTGAAAAGATTCAAAGGAGTCTGGCTCTTCTGGCAAAATTCCAAGCAGAATGACAAGTAAATGGGGAGCCACTTGAGAGCATGGAGGCCCTGCTCAAGCCCCCCAAATGCCATTCTCAGAAGCCTCGACCAGACACTCACCTCCATCCTCCCAGCACCGACTGCAAACCAGCCCCTCTGCCCCCTGCAAACAGACTCATGACTGGATCTTTAAATGGGGGGAAAAATGCTTCATCATGTTCTGCTTCTCCATTCGAAACTAGAAACTCCCTTCCCCCTCCTTGCTCCTCCCCGGTGCACTCTCCTTCCAGTAAAACATGGTTAAAGGGACAGCACCATCACTTCTTCATCTCTGAGGGTCTGCTTAGAACCAGCGGTCTGGGAAAGAGGCAGAGGGCAAGGAGAAACAAACTGGCAGAGGTCTTTTCTGGGGGGATCTATCTGTCTCCATCCTGGGGATCCCACCAAAGGAAAGCCAGTGTAAAGTGGAAGTGTAGTGGGGGTTGAGATAACTGCCTCAGGGACGCTCAGATCTGGGAGGAGAGGCTTAAAGCTCCCTCCCAGAAAAAGACTGTGGGGGTCCTTTCAGCTATCAAAGGAGGAGTGGGACAGCCCAGGTGTGTGTAAGTGGGAGAACATCATAGAAAACATGGGACTGGAACCCCTTGCAGAAGATCAAGGGGCTGTGTCCCTGACTCCCAGAGTGACCCCGCCAGATGATTCACTGCCCCCTCCTCGGTTTTCATCTGCATAACACATACGCATACCTCCCTCCCCTCTCCCCACCAAGGAAAAGGCAGAGATTAACCCCTTTTTCCCCCTAGAAAGAACAGACCCTGTCCTCGGTGCTGAAGCGACAGACGCAGCCTGCCCCCACTCCCAAGGAATTTCACATGAGAATGAAAGCACAAGAAAAAGTCATAGAACACCAGTAGCTGCAGGGCACCCCAAATTCCAGGTACCCCTTTTCTATCTGCCCCTCTATTGGAGATTATGGGGGTAAGGGATTTTGGTACCCTGAAAGCATTCCACCACTTAGCTGGGGGCGAAAAGGGATGCCTATCACGGCACCCACTTCTCTGCTGTGGGAGTGGGGGAGAGATGACAAAGTCGAAGTGAAGGGAAGATGGACTTCCTAGTTGTGCGAAAGCAGCTGCCATATCCACGGGCAGTATATGGGTCCCCTTTCCTAGTTCAGCCAGAG